GTAAAGGGGTATTCATCAATTGGGGAATGGCTGAAAAAAATGTTAATATATGAATATAATGGAATATGACACAATTTGAGAGAATCCTATTAAGTATAAACTGATGCAGAGTAAAAGTGAGCAGAACCAAGAGAAACAAAATACTTTGAAACACTCAGCTGTGATCAAAGAAATGACCAACCACCTTGAGAAGTGCCTTTATCTACGATGAAGCTTACCTCCTCACAAAGAAGAGACACACGCAAGGTTGGGAAGGCAATATACATTTTTGGACATGGATTATTGGATAGATGCTTTGCTTGATGACTTGGTAGGTAGGAGTTTTTTTTCCCTTTGTTTCTAACTTGGCATTGGAGATTTTGAGGGAGGAATACTAAAAGTAATGAAAAAAAATAGAAAAAGGGAGCCACTGAATCATTTCTAGCCTCCTTTTTTTTTTGTTGGTGAGGCAACTGGGGTTAAGTGACTTGCCCAGGGTCACAGCTAGTAAGTGTCAAGTGTTTGGTCTAAGGCTGGATTTGAACTCAGGTCCTCCTGACTTCAGGGCCAGTGCTCTAACCACTACACCACCTAGCTGCCCCTGAACCATTTCTTAGATGTGCACAGAACACAAAGGAAGTTAAAAAGAATCAAAACAAGGGCAGTTTTGAAAATAACAAGTTAGGTTTATTACATACATGTAAAAAAAAAGCAGGATATATGGAAATCTGTGGTTTCATATGCAGTCTTTTTTGTACTTTGTGTAAAGAAATGTAAAGTGTAAAGAAAAGATCAGTAATTCAGACTAGACCACCTCCAGTTCTATGATTCTATGTCTAATTTAATCTTTTGTAAATACAAATAAAAAAAAATTCCCCTCAAAATGAACTTTTAAAAAAAGGCCACTCCTTCAAATATGAAGTTTCATGTGTCACTTTTATGTCCCATAAGCTCAGCATTTTTTTGATGGAGAATTTTTTTTCTTTCTTCACTCATAAAACTAAACATTTTAAATGTTTTAGTTATGGAAAATTTGTTTATATGCATATTAAAAATGAAATAAATTACAATAAGAAACAAAGGCTTGAACCTAGCAAACTGTCAAACTCAATAAAAGATGGAAATAGTCACTCTCAAAAAGAACGTAGACTGACCTATTAATAGATTGTTGGCATACCTATAATTGTGCTACAATGGAAACTAAAATGCTCAAATCCTTTGATCTAAAGATACCACTGCTAGGTATATAACCTCAAGAAGATAGAAAGGTCTCATACATATCAAAATAATTATAGTAGCACTTCTAGTAGTAGCAAACTGGAAATGTCTATGAATTGGGGAATAGTTCATCAAACTGTAGTATGTGAATGTAATGAGATTTTAATGTACTGTAGAGAATACGAATAGAGATAAACATGAGAAAACTTAACTAAATGCTGTGTAATTATAACTACCAAGGTTTGCAATTTCTCTCCTTTGCAGAAGTAGGACAACAGGTGTGGAAAACACTGCATATGATGTTAGATTTAACTGATGTGCTGATTAGTTTTGCTGACCTTCTTACCACGCTTCCCCCCCCCCCCATCTTTTTCTTTTTGGGTTGTAAGTAGCAGCTCTCTGGGTTGGGAAGGGGAGAAAGGTTATATTTGAAAATGATGATATAAAAGCAAAAGATAAAAATTATATATATAAATAAAAATAAAATTATTATAAAAGAATCAGTCTATGAAATTGGGATTGCAGGGGGGGATTCATAACCAAACATTTAACTGTTAAAAGGGTCTTATTTAAGTAGAATTCCTACTTCTTTGATATTACTAAAAGTCAGTTTCCCAAAATGAGTTAGTATTTAACATAATCTGTCAGGGAAATAATAGAAATACTTACATGGGCTTCTTAGTTTCACTTCATGTATTATTAGAAATTACTTCTTGTATTTTGCCCTAACTAGGGTTTTAAGTGTAGCCAAAAAAAATTTAGTTTTTTAATGTTCAGTAGAACTAGTGCCTTCCTTGTAATGTGGCTACAAACCATTCAACTTTATATTATGAAAAGTTCAAGCTTTGAAAACAATTCAAGACAAACAATTTTATAATTAATAACTGAGTTGGCAAAAATTAGTAAACAGTTAACTTAAACTCTCTGGACCTTTAACTTACAAAATGCAGAGTTCTGATCTATAAGTAGATAACTTCTAAAGATTCTTCTCACTCTAAATTTATGATCCTAGCACTGACATATGAGTCATAGAAGCTTTAATTTTAATGGTGAGCAATATTCCAAATCCAAAAGTTTCTTCCCTGAAGAGACTATTGTGCATTATAGTTCTTTTGAGTTTTTCCTAAGAGTAAGTGGCTCCAAGTAATCGCCAAACTCTGTTTAAAGTTAAAAAAGTAGTTTGAATAAAACACCTCCCTGGCAGACCAGAATTTCAGAAAACACATTAATAGTCAAAATTATTCCTGGTTAAACACAAAATTTAAATGTATTTTTGGCTCAAAGTAAGCAAGAAATGAGATTTGACCAAAATATGTTGCTACATTCATTCTTAGAGGTGGTGTGGTATAGTAGACAGCTGGCCTAAAAACCAAGGAAGACTTGGGTTCAATTTCTGTTTTTGATCCTAGGCAAATCACTTGAAGTCTCAGGTTTCTAGGAAGCTAAGGCTTGGTGCCAATTTGTGTTGATAAAGAGTTTCCTCAGGGGATAGTTCACAAGTGCCTAGCCTACATTCTATCTGTAAAAGCAAGAAGTAGGAAAAGGTGTAATTAGGCCAGCACTGGTTTTGGGAAAATGATCTCCATACAAAGAAATTAGTTTTCTTTAACAGGTAGCCCTCTCCTTCAATTCATGATAAAGGTATGCTCTGGATTGACAATATATCCATGACATTTAACTGAATTTTGGCACTTATGACAAACTCTAAAATAAACCAAGCATTTTTGATCTTGGTCCTCTTGTATTTAGTCTTACATATGCCTACAGAACAGAGAGCCCCATTTCAAATGGTTTGATATTAGGTCCAATGGATTGGGTAACTCAATTGTTCAGATCACAGTTAAGGAAAAAAAACCCAATGTTTAACACTGCCATCTCAGAGAAAAAGCCAAGAAAATTACCTCTATAATGAGCAAAGCTCTATCTTTATTTGTTAAGAATTATTTGAAAATCTACTTAAGATGAAATAACTTCCCAGGTTCAAGAGAACAGGATTTTCTTTTATTATGTTATGATTGTGTTAAAAACTGACAGCAATAGGCAAAGAGATGGAACCAAGAATTCTTTTTCTAAAATAGCACATAAAGATTGCAAGGCTGCTTAAAAGAAACTGATATTGATTAGTTCTGAATGCTTTTACCACCAATTAAAAAATTTACCTCTCCATTTTCCTTAAAAACTTAAGAAGTGCTACTTTTAAACTGGGAAGTTAGTCAAGTTAATTTGCAGTTAAAGGCAATGGCAGGTTTTATTTATATGGAAATAAAATAAAGGATGAAACAGATATTCTCTGAACAGAGTATAACTTGCATGTAGATTTAATATGGGGCAGCTAGAAGGTGGAGAGAACACAGGCCCTGAAGTCAGGAAGATATATCTTCCTGAGCTCAAATCTGGTCTCAAGACACTTCTTAGTTGTGTGATCCTGGGCAAGTCACTAACTTTTTTGCCTCAGTTTCCTCATCTGAAAAATGAGCTGGAGAAGGAAATGGCAAACAACTCCAGTATCTTTGCCGAGAAAACCTCAAATGGGGTCACAAAGAATAAGATATTACTAAAACACCTGAACAACAAACAGATTTAATATAATCAGGTATTGGCCTGATGCATAAACGTGCATCTAAATGCATTTAAAATGGGCACAAAACATATCTGACAACAGAAATGAGCAGGAATATTGTACAGAAACGAACCTTATCCATCTTCACAATTCACACATATAGCTATGAAATATTAAACAATAATAAAATTGAAAAGACGGGGAAATTAAACTGACAGTTTCAAAACCTGAATTCTATTCCCCCCCCCAATCTTATTGGGCAAAAAAGTTCAATGTTAAAAGCCACAGCATAGTAATTTTTATTCCTCGTTTTGTGCTGATTTTTAAAAACATACTCACATCATTTAAGATAGTTCAGGCATGGGGAACTTATTTTCTTAAAATTATACCTGAAAGTCTTCTGAAACTCAAAATATTTATCTATATATCTCTGTTATCTCCTTAGTATACTTCCTTGACAGATCTTTAGTTTGTATATCACACACACACAGACAGAGACAGACAGACAGACACACACACACACGCTCTCTCTCTCTCTCTCTCTCTCTCTCATATCTCATCACAAATGCCAGTGGGTTCCTTAACTATTTACAAATGAACAATGTCCATCTGCATTATCACACTGCCCTCCTATACTAGTAGTACTATACTAGTAAAATAAAATTTTACTGTTCTTCAAATTCTATTGCATAAATAGCTTCAGATATAAAAGATTTAAATATATTCCTTTTCCATTTAGTTGGGATGTTCTAAGTTAAAAGGCACCAAAAACAAATTAAAATAGTCACTGCTCAGAGTCCAAATACCTTCACCCTCTTGAAAAAAATTTAATCAATTTAACCTACTCAACCTCCTCCTTAACAGCAAATCAATTTCTGGGTCCAGCAGTGTATTTACAGGTTCACAGGTTACAGGTTTAGTGGTTACAAGTACATATAAATACTGAAGACTACAATATAACATCACTACAAAATGATGCAAATCAAAAGAAAAATGTATTTTTGAAACATACTTATGTTATACAATTCATTTGTTGAATATTCTCTATTTTCATCATCCAATATCCAATCTACTTTCTTCACCTTATCTACAAGAAATCTGAATTATGAATGTAAATACTATAAAAGAAGAAATAGTATAGGGGCAGCTAGGTGGCTCAGTGCATAGAGCACTGACACTGAATTCAGAAGGACCTGAGTTCAAATCCGGCCTCAGACACATAACACTTACTAGCTGTGTGACCCTGGGCAAGTCACTTAACCCCACTGCCTAGCCAAAAAACAAAAACAAAACAAAACAACAAAAAAGAAGAAATAGTATAAATGAAATATAGAAATCACCAGGAGCTAATTTTACAAAGCTATAAAACTAGCTAATAAAAATTAAATCTTAACTGTTCAAACATAGTTAATCTATTGGGAAGTGATAATGGACAGCATATTGAGATAAACACTTATCTCTAAAAGAGATGTTGCTACCATGCCCTTCTTTGTCCACCAGAGGAGAATGGCCATCTGTTAGCAGCCAGTCCTCTCTCTGCACATCTCACTACCCAGCAACTGTAAATCCTCTTCTTCCTATTCTCTAGTCTCAAACAGGACACAAGAGAAAGTTGGTACTCTTCAGAAAAAAAAGGCTGAGAAGCTCTACTACATACCTTATGTATCTTTAAAAAATGCTATATACATTAATGAGTAGATATTCAAAGTTCAAATTATTCAAAGCCTGAAACATCCAGTCATTAGATATCTGTTTAGTTTCAATATCAAGTTTTTCCCAAAACAAAAAATTACACCCCCCTCCTCTATTTCCTAAACAGTGAATTGAAGGGGTGATGTTAATAATATAACTTTGATTAGATTCCTTATCAAATTCTCACAATTACTGCATACAGTACTATTAACTTATTTAATTGTAAACTCCAAATTGAATCAGATCTCAAATTCAGAAAAGGTGAACACAACTGGGATGGCTCAGGCAATAATTTGCTCTTCTATGGGTTTCTATTTTAAAGATTTAGGAAATGATATTAACTTCCTACCATAAATACTGCTGTTGAGAGGATCCATTTTGCAAAATTCATTTAAACATGATCACTTAGTGGTTTCTCCATTCTCACAGTTTAGTTAAAAACTATCCAATTCCTTTAAAATACTTTTCCTGTGAAATAATGACTACCCACAACAAAATATTTTAAAGTACAATATCAAACTGTGCAGAACTTACCAAAGGCATTAAATACATATTCCTGCCATTTAAAAATATTTAAGGACTGCAAACATGCAGTTAATTTTTAAAAACTGAATATATTCTAAAATATATGTGACATTTGAGATAAAGTAAAGGTCTCAGTTTTGCAACAGGAAACATTTTGTGGCAATTAAAATGAATTAAAGAATCAGTTCTCTGGTAGTTCAAGAAGTAAGTCTTTTCTCTATTGTCTCCTGATAAGCAATAAATCTTCTCAAGTTCATTTTCACATTGTCAAGAACACAGAGTTGATCTGTACTATATTTTCCTCTTCCTTCTTTTCGAAGCTATAATTGGGGGAAAAAAGAGGAAAATTTGCTATAAGTGACAATCATTTAACTAAGAAAAATATGACTACTACAAACATAGTGGAGAAATCTTTGACATGACAGCTACTAGAATATGGGTATCTCCAGTTACCTCCTCTAAATACGACAGCACAGTTGAGGCATTTAAAGCTCAAAATTAGTACCTTCAAAATTACACTTGCAAAGTCAGTGGTGCATTAGCAGTGAAACAGACTGTTACACAGCATGAACAGCTTCATAATCAGGAGAAACAGAGCATCATGGACATCTGGCTAATACCACTGCCAGTATTCAATTTCAGTGTTTAACCTCAAGCATATAGTAACCTCTAGAGAGTTCTTTGTTAGAAAGCAGTGTATTTTGTTTAATGCAATTTGGGGCTAAAACATTTAATGAAGTATGTTTACTGCAACTGTGGTTTCATTTTACACAGTGCCATTTCACAGAAACATGAGCTTGATCTTAGAGCGGTTAATAAAATACTCTAGAAACAAAACTATTTGCTTTTTTTTTTAAAAGAAGAATTAAGTTGGACACTACTATTCAATAAACTGTTTAGTGGTTTGAAAAACAGTACAGCTAATGGTTTAAAATTAGTATTAGTAATATGTTCCCAAAACAGTTTACTTTTGTTCTATATGTAAAGCCTTAAATTATTTCCCCTTAAAACTGAAAATGTTTTGGTTAAGAAAATTCAGAATACTGGAAAAAAAAAGTTTAAAATAAAATAGCCAAACTACATAGCCTCAATATGATTAATGGAGAGATTTTAATGTGAAATTACGAGCACTAGATCTTTTATAACTCTTGTTGTTACCTTGGGGACAAGCAAGAGATACCAGATCTCAAATGCAAGAGGAAGATGTATTTCCACCCCAAGAAGACAAAATATATGCAAAGTAATTTCTAGAACTGATAGGATCAAAACTGGTTTCTTGTAGGAATAGGCACAAATTTGAAAGCTAGGGCTTCTATGAACCAGAAGACAGCATCATTACAAAAATCCAGGGAAAAGAAAGTAGGCAACAGTGCTAAATGCTACCAAGAAGTCAAAAAATAGGATTGGGTGTTCAACTCAACCTATAAGCTTATGTGTTTTGTGGTTAAAAAAAAATCATCTGACCAGTCTTGGCCTTGTGGCATCGAAAAATTATTTATAGTTAGTACAAGGTGTGTATGTGTGTTCAGGGAATTCTGTTCTTAAATGTGTATGTGCTACTGGTTAGTATTTGTCAGTTAACCTTTTCTTCAAGTTAGGGTTAGATTAGGCATTAAGCTGAGTTCTAATCTAAGCTCTGCTAATAATGAGCTCTGTGTTCTTAAGCATGTCAATGAACTTTCCTAAGCTTCAACTTCCATATCTATAAAAGAAATATGGAGATTCAACTAACTGCCCTTCTGTGACTTAAATTTTATGTTTCTGAGTAACCTGTACTCCAACCAAAATATTAACGAAAGGAAGCTATCTACGCTATTGTTCTGGGGAAAAAAAATTTGTACATAATCTTAAATTTAAAATTACAATTCCATGAGGCTCATCATATATAAAGTTTCATTTAGTAAAAGTGATTCTTGGAGTTTTATCTTTTTTCCCTATCAATTCCTTTTCTGAAAGTGAGTGCTTGATACTCTGAAGGAAACAACACACAACAAACATAATTTTGTTTTACCAAAAAATTAAACTGTGTTTGAAAAAGTTAAGTTTTTGTTTCTATCTTATAAACTGGAAAAAAAAAGATGCTAAAGTACTTAAAGTTCAGTGGCTTATCTACCTATTAGTAACTGAAAATTAAAACACTTAAAATAAATTTCACTGGTATTGAATCTAGTTTAATACTAGACAGTTTGGGTACAACATCTTAAAATAGTTCTCAATGAATCTATATACTGAAAAATTATAGTTAAAATCCAAGTTATATTAAAATAAACTTACTTATTTTAGCGAATTCTAAAGAACCGGTGTTCCTCACAATATTAAAAAGAACACTTGTAGGAAACAGTGAGTTAACTTTATAGAATCCTCATTTCCCCTCCTGTTTTCACCAAGGGTTTAAAAGAAATAAAACTCAAAACAAACAAAAAAAAGGAATAAAACTGCTCCAAATTTAAGAGTTCTTTACATTCCAAATTACAATGTATTGTAACTTCATAAAGATTTTATGCAAGAGAAAAAAATAATCTTTAATATTAGGAATACTCAAAGGAAAAAGGGATTTAGTGTTCGGTCTAGGCGATTCTCACTAAACAAATAAGCAAAAGACAGAGTTAAGTAGCTTGAGATTACTTACCCTTTTCTTTAAATGCAAAGTAGAAGACAAAATTAAATTACTAATTATGATGAACTTAGTCTACACCATAACACTGTTAAACCCTAAGCCATTTCTCCATAATGTCAAACAAATAACGAATTAAGAGTACAAACATGACTTAAGTCTGGGTCAATTTACCACAATGTTAGAATTGGCAAGAAAATAACCTTCCCAACCATAATCTTCCCCTGCTTTTGGCAATAAAGACCTAATTAGTATTCCAAGAAATATCTGCTAGTTGGCTAGTCAACAGAAATGTATTAATGTATTAATTAATCACACATGTGTGATCAGCTGAGAATTAATCAATGCGATATAAGGATCCTATGCTCTAATTTGTCATATACATGCCCACTAAAATATATGATTATGGCTGTTAAACCATATGCTCATAGCATGTTGAAACTCAGATGATTCTCAGAACAGGGTTATTACACACCTTCATTTTGAAAACTGGCTGGAATTCTTTTAGGGCAGATAATAATTTGATCTCAACTGCTGCCTTTTCCGCTTCTTTACCATCTGCAAAAACATCAAAGATGGCATCTAGAGTTTCTCCAGCTACAACAAGAGAAGAATCTTTGGTGGCCACTTCAAGAAGAAATTTTCCAATAGTCTGAAACAAAACAGAATTATTCAACATCCAAAGGTTACACTCCAATAACGATTTGAAACTATTTTAAAAATACATATAAGAATAATATTGCATATAAAATTGCTTGAAAAATATTTAATACTCTTAAAAGAAATAGAGATGTAAAAGTCTAAGAGCTGTGGGTATATAGGGAAGAATACTGGACTTGTAATCAGATGATGTGGTTCTGAGTTGTGGATCTATTATCTCATTGTCCATATCACCTCTCAAGGAAGTCACTTTCCCCTCTCTGGATTTAGGACTTATCATCTGGTAAACTAGATAAGGCTCCTTCCAAGTCCAACAATCTCTGAACCCTCCCCAGAGAGAAAAACAAGGACCACAAATATTTTTCACTGAAGCTTTATTTTCACATATCTTTGCCCCTTCTCATTTTAAAAGCTACAAAAATAAAATCACTTCCCCATAGGCTTTCATATCTCTCAGCCAAGTATGATAGTTTTAGGAGTAAACAAAGTTATACATAATATACTTTTATCTTTCTAAACTATGATTACAGACCTTTAACAGGTGCTTTAAAAAATGTCAACTTTTCCCACAACTATGCCAAAATGTTCTACTGCTTCAAATAAAAAAAACACTAAAGGATCATTAAAAACCAAAATTTTCTTCTTAAACTTTAAATGAAAGAAATAGTCTTTTACAATTTCTACACCTTCATTCAGAGAAGCAGTAGAATGAATTGTGAAGATATATTTAAAGCAGTGGTACAACAGATAAGCTGTCCTTGGAGTTAAGAATGCCAGAGTTCATGTCCCACCACCAACCTACACCCCAGCTGTGTGGGCCAAGTCACACCTTCTCAGTGCTCTAGGTAACTAATACTACAAATTTCAAAACTAGCATCTTAGTCTAAAAATATATTTTACCTTCAGTGTTTCAAGTGTACCATCTTCTTTGGCTAGGACACAGCCTGTGATTCCTAAAATACTAACAACATTTACCCTAATACCAACATTACTGCTATGAATCCCAGCTTCACATAATGACATCAGCTGCTCGGGAGTCATGCACTGTTGAGAGATAGTAGGGGAGATATATTTTTATGTTAAGTTCAGTCAATTTCAACAGTTTAAGGCAACACAGACTTGGCTTTAGATTTCACAAACACACTTTTACAAGAGAGACAGGAACCACTTGCTGTGAAGATACTGTATACTAATTAAGAATCCAGGGAATCAAACAAGCAGATTTCTCTTTAAGCAATTTATTTGACTATCTAGAACTTTGCAGGTATTGCCAATATCAATACTAACACAGCCGTAAACTTAAACAAGGTTTTACCCCATGTTATTATTATGATTGTTATTTTGTTGGGGGTTTTTTTTGGCAATTGGGGTTAAGTGACTTGCCCACGGTCAGACAGCTGATCAGTGTCAAGTGTTTGGTCTGAGGCCAGATTTGAACTCAGGTCCTCCTGAGGCTGGTGCTCTATCCACTGCCCCACCCAGGTGCCCCCTCTCCGTATTATTTTTCATAAGCCCTTCTTTTCTGCTGATTCACAAATTATGCCTTAGATATATTAAAAATATTTTAAACAGCATAGTAGAGCAACTACTGTGCTGGATTTCAAGATGTGTGTATCTTGCCTCTAGTATATATAAATTATCTAATTATGAGCAAGTCATCTAACCTTTCAATAAATTTTTTTTTTTGGCTAGGCAATTGGGTTAAGTGACTTGACCAGGGTCACACAGCTAGTACATGTTATGTTTCTGAGATCAAATCTGAACTTAGGTCCTCCGGACTCCAGGGCTGGTACACTATCCACTGCACCACCTAGCTGCCCCCCTCAATAAAATATTTTTTAAAAAATAAAATGAAGTACCAAATAAGAAGCACCCAATCAAATCAAATCCAATTCCAGGTCATTTGGATTTATTTTCTTCAATTTAGACTTATAGTATAGATTCTGATAAAAGATCCTAACCACTGAAATCTGAGCGTTTCAGTACCAAATTCTTGGATATGGCAAAGTATAGGACAAAAAAGTATTCTCTAGTATCATCAGAGGATTAAAATTTAAAGGGAGGTTCTTAATCTGGAGTCCATGAATTTTGGTTAAAAAACATATTTTGATTACTATATTAATACACTTGGTTTTCTTCATAATCCTATGTATTTTATGTATTTAAAAACATTACACTAAGAAGTGGTCCACAGATCTCATGATACTGCCAAAGGGATCTATGATTAAAAAAAAACAGTTAAGAATTTAACTGTTTTAACATATGGTCACTGTCATAGCAACAACAGAGTACCTAATACCTTCAATACATGAGGTGCTGAAGATGATGGATTTACGAAACAGTTCTAGCTGCCTGGGAGTTTATAATCTCTATATATAGAGGAAACTTGTTAAATGAAATCACCACTACTAGCTGAATGTCATCTCTGAATTATTTTTCCAGTTGTAATGGATTTGAGCTAAGATATCTATACCAACTGACCAAATGCTTATAACTGCAAAAGTACTGGTCAGGTTTTGAAATGCAGTACACTATGTTTGTATAATACTATACAAGATTTTTTTCAAAGCACTTTCACAGGCAACCTTATGAAAAGGACAGATTATTTTCCTCAATTTACTGAAACCCAGATGTTTCCACATAACTTGGCTTCCAAAAGGACTTGTCTAAGTTTACATGGTTAATATCAGTCCAAACAACAAAACCAATATCTGAATGTTAACAATTGCAACAGAAATGGGAGGCTCTGAGTTTCACATATTACTATTAGCTAGGCATTTCCAAACAGTTGGGTATCATATATGCACTTCAAACTTGACATGTCCAAAATGAAAATGGTTGTATTTTCCAAAAAATGAATCTCTGCTCTAAGGCTTCTCATTCTGGTTAATGTTTGTTATCTCAGAGATAATCTCTGATTTTTCATCACACTCACTTTCAATCATCATGTGTCATCACCTCATCTCAATTCCCTTTCCCTAATTCAGGTCCTTGTCAACTTGTGCAGGGACTACTGTCATCAACAAAACCCAGAAGGAAGCACTGAGAAATTCTATTCAATTCTACAGAAGCTATAAAGCACAGAGGAATGTATCTACTAGGATATATACCTAAGAACCATATTAAACCAACTATAAAATACTCTTTGCAGAAATAAAGAGAGAATGCAATGACTAACTTTGATTGACTTATCTCTTCTTAGCAATGCAAGGATCTAAGACAACTCCAAAAGACTCATGATGAAAAATGCTATCCACATCCAGAGAAAGAACTATGGAGTCTGAATGCAGATTGAAGCATATTATTTGTTCTCTCTCTCTTTTTTTGTTTCTTTTTTCTCATGGTTTCTTACATTGGTTCTAAGTCTTCTTTACAACATGACTAATGTGAAAACAGGTTTAACATGACTATATACGTAGTGCCTATATCAAATTGCATGCTGTCTTTGAGTGGGGAGAAGGGAGGGATGGGCAGAAAATTTGGAACTCAAAAGCTTGTGGAAGTGACTGTTGAAAACTAAAAAGAAATTAATTAAAATTAAAAAGAAATAAAGATAGTTAATAATTAGGGAAACATTATTCAAATATCAAGCCAATATAAAAAAATCCAATAACATGATCTAAATTAACTTACTCAGTGCTGTGTCAATCAAACTGCCAAAAGAATATCTTATAGAACTAGAAAAAAATACCAAAATTCATATAGAGGAACAAAAAGGTCAAGAATCTTAAAGTTCATAATGAAAAATAATGGGAAGATCTCAAACTATACTCAAAGCATTAATCATTAAAATTATTTGGCACTGATTTAAAAACTAAGAGGTTGATCAGTTAAATAGATTAGGTAGCAAACAAACAGCAGTAGTAGCATAATATTTAATAAATCCAAACAGCCCATCTACTGGGGGAAAGAATCACTACCTGACAAAAACTTTGAGGGAAACTGAACAGCAGCCTGGCAGAAATTAGGCTCAGGCCAATAAACTTATATATTTTTAAAAGCTCCAAATGGATACATGACCTACACATATAAGAGCACATCATAAATAAATATGAAGAGAAAAGAAAAATTATCTTTCAGATCTATGGAGAGGAAGAGTTCATAGACTAGTAAGAGAGAGGACCACAGGATAAAATGGACAATTTGGTAACATCAAATTTAAAAGGTCTGCACAAATTATATGTGGTTAAAATTATAAGGAAAATAGGTACAGCAAGTTTCTCTAATAAAGTTTTATGTGCAAGATATATAAAGAACTAATTCAAATTTATTAGACTAAGAGCCAATTCCAAACAGATAAAATAGTCAAAGGATACATGAATAGTATCCTGAAAACAGGCTGTTTTCAAAGAAATTCAAGCTACCAACAAATACATGAAAAAACTGTTCTAAATCACTAATAATTTAAAAAATTTTAAGGCCCCACCCATCAGATTGGCAAAGATAACAAAAGAGGAAAAGGACAAATACTGGAAAGCCTATGGGAAAACTGTCACATTAGCGCACTGGAAGAACTGTGAATTGGTCCAGCCATTCTGGAAAACAATTTGGAACCATGCCCTAAAAGTTTCTAAAACCATGCATAGTCTTTGACCCAGCTATACCATTACTAGGTCTGGACCCCAAAGAAATGAAAGAAAGAAGAAAAGGACATAAATGTCCAAAATAATTTATAGCAACTCTTTTCATAGTGGCCCCAAAATGGAAACTAAGAGAGTGTCCTATTGGGAAATGGTTAAACAAATTGTGGTTTATAAATGGAATGGAATATGACTGTGCCATAAGAAATGATCAAATGGATAATTTCTGAGGAAAGTAGGAAAACTTTTTTGAAATGATGCAGGGCAAAGTGAGCAGCACTAGGAGAAAATTTTATATGACAACCACATTATAGAGAAAAAGAACTCTTCTTGAAAGGCTTTAGAATTCTGATCAGTGTAATGACAAATCAAAAGACTTAAAGATAAAACAAACCACTCACCTCCTGTCAGAGAGGTAAACTTAAGATGTAGAGAGAGATATACATTTTTGGGTATGGGAATTTGTTTTCCTTGACCATGAATGTTCATGATGGGAATTTTTTTCTTTTTTTGTTCAATCAGGGGAAGGGGAGAGGAAAGTAGGGACAGATTATAAATGTGTATTAAAAAATCAATTTATTTTAAATAAGAAGAACCTCAAACAAATACTGGACTAACAAATTCAGAAGTCTTGCTCTCACAAATTGATGTAAAATTTTCTTTAAAAGTTAGTACAGCCAGTTACCAAAGTAAAATTCAATTAGTCTTCAGTTACTCTATCAATTGAGTTTATAAACCTTCTACCTGCTTTTTCCTTTAATGAAAGTAAAAAGAAGAAAAACAAACTAGTATCAGCTAATTTACTTATTCATAATTCTAGAAGATTTTTAAAAATGGTTAATTTAAAAAATAGTCATCGCTTGTGATCCTCTCTAACTTAAAATCTGATTAAAATCCCAAGGCTACTGATGTTTTAGAATTTTTAAAATTCCATTCTCTATAATATGCAACTAAAAATGACACACATTATTTCATCCTGTTTTTTCCATTTCTGCGTTTCAATAGCAAAATCACATTCCATTATAAAAAAACAAATCAACAGAAAAACTTAACAAACTTAACTATTACAACACAAATTCCACATAATAAATTATTAAATTGGTTACAGATGCCTTAAAAAGGCAAGTAGTCTGGCCATTCAATACTCGAAATATAATTTCTCCTTGCCTAAATAATAAGGGATTAGGATAGGGAGAAGGGTAAAATTATGGGTTTTTTTAATTTGTAAAGCCAGAAGCTAGGTGACACAGTGAATAGATCACTGGAATAAAAGTCAAGACCACCTGCATTTAAATCTTGCCTCAAACTCTTACAAGCTGTGCGATCTCAGGCTTTGCAAAATTCAACATGTTATAAAAATGCTAGATTTATTTTTTTCTAACAGTTTCCTGCTTCCAAAAACTTGCTAGCAAGATCATTAAAACTAAAGAAATAAAGCATTAAACCTTGCTTGTATATGTTATACCTTCCAGATCACCCCAAATTTTATACAAAAAGAAAAAATCTCACCTGAGAAATGTTCTTGGATGCCATTATCTGCAACAGAGTCCTTAAAGCACTGCTTATGGCTTCTAGGAATTCTGTGTGTTTGATAAAATCTAAATAAAAAACACAAAAATAAACCCAAAAACTCACCTTACAAATGTTTTAGTTAAATGTTTTCACAAGAAATAGTGGCAAAATAAGGTAGCACCATTATATCAAAACACAAGTAGTGTAATCGGAATATATTTGATATCTGAGTTGTCCTATAATCCACACAAGCCAAATACTCTGAGGTGCCTTTCTTTCTTCGTATGTACACTGATTATTTGAGGTAATAAATAATAGAAACGAAAAATCCAAAAAGGAACGTACTTTGGTACTTACGTTCAAATAGAACTACAATTTCATATTCTGGAATATCCAATCAAACTTCAATCTATAATCTGCCCCAGGATCAGTTCCATTCTGTTCTCCATTCCTTGCTGGGGAAGAACAGCAGCACCTTTGATTCAAAGTACTAACTTAAACCAAACTGCCTTTTGAGTATTCTTGTTGTCTTGACTCACACTATGCTTCTTATTAGAGAAGAAATTTCAAAAATCTTTTCTGTAAAGTTGTCCCTAGTTTGAAGATAGACTATTTCAAACATCCTTCCCATTTTGAGGAATTATTCATGAAGGTCAACAAATGGAGTGACGTCAAAAGAAGGAGTTAAAAAAGAGAAGTGGCAAAAAAGCAGTACCTTCCTTCCATACTCCTTTATATAGTAGGGATTTGCTGCAAACAAAGTAGATAATCTACCCAATAAGAATTATCATCAATATTATAAGTGAATCTGACTTGATTTTATAGTTGAATTTAGCCTTTAACATTCAGATTAATAAAGGGTGGTACTGTCATAACAAAGATGGACAATATAGAACTGGCTTTCCCCTCCAAACTTCTAAAGTTTAATCTGCGTAATTAACATTTTCTTAAGTCTATGTAATAAAGAAAGCAAATTTAAATCAAGCCTTAATTTGTAGCATTTGATGATTTTCAAGGTGTAAATGCTCACACTGAAAATCTAGCAATTTGCTCTTGAGAGCCCTAGGAAGTTGGCTCTAGCACACCCCAGCTTCCACTCAGTTCTTTTCCAGGCTATCAATCCTACACTTTTTCCCTTCCTCATCTATATCCCCTGGTGAATACATTCAACTTTCGTCTTCTCAAGTCTCTTGCCCTATTTTCCTATCAAAAATCTTGCCTCAAGGTTTACTTCAGCCTTGGATTATTCCCATAATCTGGTCCCTTTGCTCCTACTCACATGACACTGAATATGAAGCTGAAGAAAAAAAAGAAACAAAATCATGTTGCCTAGGTCCATTACTAATTATGTTACATAATCTCATCACTAGGTTCTCACTGTGGTAAGGCAATCTTTCATAACTCCCTCCTTGATTCACTATCTCACTCACCATAGCTGCTTTTCTAAAGAAAACCTTTTCAACCCTCCTAAAACCTCACATAGCTTCGAGAATCCTCTTTATTTCACTTTGAAAAACGAAGACTATTCATCAAATCTTCCTTTTAATCCCTCTTCATCCTATATAACTAACATGCCTTCTACTACCTTTACCTCTGTCTCACATGAAGTAGCCCATCTCCTTGCCAAGTCAAACCCAAGTGATCTCATTCCATCCTATATTTTCCAGTAGACTGCCCCCTCTATGACTGCTTTTTTGTTGTTCAGTCGTTTTTTACTCATGTCTGATTCTTCATGACCCCATTTGGAATTTTCTTGGCAGAGATACTGGAGTAGTTTGCCATTTCCTTCCAGCTCATTTTACAGATGAGGAAACTGAGGTAAACAGGGTTCAGTGACTTGCCCTGGTTACACAGCTAGTAAGTATCTGAGGATGGATCTGAACCCAGGTCAGTCTTCCTGACTGTAGGCTTGGCACTCTGTCCACTGCACCACCCAGCTGCCCTCTATCATTGCTATTCTCTCACTTATCTTCATTCTCTGGCTTAGAATAATAGGCTTTCTTAATCATTCTGAGGAACTATCAATCATATAGACACAAGTATTTACCATCCCTTAAATTTATGGGAAAGATCTCCAGAAAAAGAATTGGTGGAACCTGAATTCAGATTGAAGAAGATACTTTTCCTTCATTTTCTTGTTTGCTTTTTTGTCTGTGTTTTCTTCCACAGCATGACTTACATGGAAATGTGTTTTGCATGACTACACATGTATAACCTTTGTCAAATTGCATGCCTTCTCTATGATGGGAGGGAGCGAATTTGGAATTCAAAATGTGAAAAAAAGAATGTTAAAATTGTTTCTACATATAATTGAGAAAAAATAAAATATTATTTTTTGTTTGTTTGTTTTGTATCTGGTGAGGCAGTTGGGGTTAAGTGACTTGCCCAGTGTCACACAGCTAGTGTCCAGTGTCCAGTCTGAGGTTGGATTTGAAATCAGGTCTTCCTGACTCTAGGGCCAGTACTCTATCCACTGCACCACTTAGCTGCCCCGAAAATTTATCATCTTTGAAAAATTTGTAGAGAGCACATGGATTCTGTAAATTTTCAACAAACAGAAGTGGGAAATGAGTAAATGCCCTTAAGTTTTAAAATACATTTAATGTTTCTCCTAGAAATTAAATAGTTTTTAACACATGGAGGAGGCAGCAATTTAGGATTACATTATAATTACTGAAAATTACTTTCACTATCAAATGATACTGAATACATTCAATGTTAATGGTACTCACAAGTCTTATTGCTCAAACCAGAATTTTATTTGTGTAGTCAAGGGGTGGGAGGAGATAGACAAAAAAAAAACATACCATCGTTACATTGTTACACAACCCAAACAATACTTTTGGCACACAACAATGTGTGACTACTCTATCTGACCCATTATAATTTCTACAGTTTATTCAAAGGATAAGTAAGGTGAGAGCCAGGACAGCAAAAAGAAGTCAGCAAAGGTGAAGAGTATAGGATATAAGGTGTCTTTAGTAGTAAAAATCTCAACAACTTTTAAACAATGGCTAAAACAAAGAGAATAAAAGGAGGGAGGCAGGATGAATGGTATAGAATTCAGAGTGCAACTTTTTAATCAATGAACAACATTTAGAGAATCACAAGTAGTTTTTTGAAGAGTAGACTATATTGTGTTATTTCAGTCTGTGCATAGATTATCATTAAGTGGATCTACAATTTAAATAATTCTTAAATCATGAGTTTTTTCCTAAATAAAAATATTAAAAGATACTAAGTAAATAAGCATAGTATAATTGTAACACCCCTGATAAGCTCTTTAGCCCACAATTACATGAAAGTTATGTTCCATGAAGTAGTAACTTTACTGTTTATAACGCCTATGGCTAGCATATAATATGTATTTATAAATCCTTGCTGAATTCAATCTGCAAGGTTTTATGTTCTGTCAGTACTGATTACAATTCATGTCAAATTAGACTATAAAATACAATATAGAATAAATTCTCAAAATGCCATTAGTGGGGGCTGGTTATAGCTACTAAAATAACAGTAAGGGATAATAACAGTTACATAGTGCTGTCAGTATAAGCTACACATGAATTCTAGGATACAAGTAAGATCACAGGATTTTTGAGTTAGAAGGACCTTAGAGATCATCTAATCTAACTCCTTCATTTTAAAGGTGAAATAACTGAAGATGAAATTTCACTGATTTTCCCAAGGTCATGGAGTTTCTAAATGGCAGAGGAGGGATTCAAACCCAGGTACTCTAGTACTTGTTCTAAAGCACAGGTAAGAGAATTTTTAATTTACTTCACAGTCGATTGATTAATTAGCCCTTTCAAAAAAAGATCCCTACCAAAGCCATTTTCCAATAGATAAGTGGCCTACAAACATAAATAATCAATTCTTAGAAGAACTGCAAATTATTAGCCATATGAAAGAACTCTGAATCACTAAGAGAAGTACAAATCAAAACAACTCTGAGGTTTTACCTCACACCCTGCCAACTGGCAAAAATGAGAATAGTTATGTTGAAGGGTTGTGGGAAAATAGGCACATAAGTGTATTGCTGATGAAACTGTCAATCAGTACATCCATTCTGAAAAGCTACTTGGAATCATGCAATTAAAGTGTCTAAAATGTTTATACCCTTTAATCTAGAATCAAAGGCATACTATAAAGGCATTATTAGCCTTATACCCCTAAATTTAACGAGGCTACTGAAAAAAAGGAAAGTCTTCATGTATCCCAAAATATTTCTAGCAGGAGCAGCTAGATGGCTCAGTGGACAGAGCATTAGCTCTGGAGTCAGGAGGACCTGAATTCAAATCTGGCCTCAGACATATAACACTCACTAGCTGTGTGACTCTGGGCAAGTCACTTATGTGACTTGCCTCATATTAAGAAAAAAAATATATTTATAGCAGCACTTTTTGAGAAAGCAAAGAACTGGAAACAAAGTACATGTCCATTGATTAGGGAATGGCTAAATGAACTGTGGTCCATAAATTTAATAGATTACTACAGCAATGTAAAAAAATATCAAATGTTATGAATACACAGAAGCATGATCTACATGAACTGAAGCACAGTGAAAGTTAACAGAGCTCAAAAAACCCTCGAAAATAACCAGTAACAACGATGGAAATGGAAAGAACCACAAAACCCCCAAACTTTTCCCTTAAAAAGCCCCTACCAACAAAATAACCAAAAAACTGGAATTTAATCCCCCTTTCCACTGAGATAACAAAAAAAAGTTAGCGCCCTCACCCAACTCTGCTGAAATATACATATATTATGTCATAATTAAGTTTGCTTATATAAATCAGAAAAGTTAGTACTACATAGGGAAAAAAGGCTAGAAATGGGTACAATGAAAGTGAAAATTAACAAAAATTTACTTTAAATGGTTGATTTTTTAAAAAATAAAAATGGAAAAATATAATCCATAGAACAGGTACTTTTCTCAGACTACTGATGCCAATAGCATTGCATATGTGATGGCTGTTTGCCCACCACTTCCATTGTGTTCCTTGCAACTCCTGTTCCATTCTGAACATACCTCCTCCTTTTGTCCTAGACCTTTTTCTATCACAATTCTCTCTATTAGTCCTCACTGTGAGGTAGCCTCTCACTGACAATTATGTCACTCCTTTTCCCCACTCCTTTATCAATATCACCCAACAAACCGGTCTGAGAGGGAGAGTTGGAATACTTCTTGCTCCCCAATGTCACTTTTAAATTCTCTTTTTACCACTGGGATTCTTAGCCTGGGATCCATGAACTTTTTTTTTTTGGCTAGGCAATGGGGTTAAGTGGGTCACACAGCTTGCAAGTGCTATGTGTCTGAGGCTGCATTTGAACTCAGGTCCTCCTGAATCCAGGGCCTGTGCTCTCTCCACTGCGCCTCCTCGCTGCCCCTTCATGAACTTGTTTTTAAAAATATTTTGATAACTGTGTTTCAATATAGTTGGTTTCCTTTGCAATCTTGTGTTTATTTTATGAATTTAAAAACATGTTCAGAAGGGGTACATAGGTGTCACCTAAGACCCTGATTTACCACTACCACTCAAGAACCTCTCTTCCTTTGAGTACCAAAGTATTAAAATATTCTACCCAATCCAGATCATGGTGACTGCTATATACTGGCCCCTAGCTCAAGAGGTCAACTCCTGGCTCACCATCTTCCTCTCCTCAACTTCTACCCTTACACTAGAGAACTTCAAAACCATCTTGGTATTAACTCTCCAACTTCCAGCCTCCTTAAGACTCACGACCTACCCCTTCAGCAACACATAAGGATAGTTATACACTGTAATAAACCATTACCCAGAAATGTTCCAGTTCTCTAAAAATGGACTCCTCTATCCAATTCTTTCTCTTCCTTCACATGACAGGCTCTTATTACCTCTCACCTAAATGATCACATCAGCTTCCTAATTGGTCTCCTTGTCTTAGATCTCTCACCACTTCAGCCCATCCTATACATTAATGCCAAAGTGACTTTCCTTAAGTACAGATCTAGTCATGTCATTCCTTTATCAATAAATTCCACTGGCTCCTGCTGTTGGCCTTTAGGAAGAACTACAGACTCCTGTTTTAGCTTTTAAAGCCTTTTACAACCCAGCCTTAACCTGCATTAGTAGATGTTACTCCCTATCCTAAACCATGACCCTGCCAAACTAGCCCTGTCTCTGCTCTTCACACACAACACTCCATCTCCCACCTCAGTGTCTTTGCACTAACTGTTCCCCACTCCTGGAATGTACATCCTTCCTTCAAGATATGGCTCAAGTACAGCTTCCACATGAAGTCTGTTTTTTTTAAACTAACTTCCTTAATCACATGCCCTCTTCTCAAACTACTCTGTAGTTCTTTTCATGTTATCTCTCCTTATGAAAAAGTTTTGATTTTTTTTTTGTATTACCAGCATGTAGCACAATGACTGGCACATAAAAAGTATCTGATAAATGCCTGTTAGTTAATTAAGTTTGCAGGTTGGTTTATAAACAATTCTAACTCTCTGACTCTAGAAAATTCAGATTAGGGCTGACTTTCACAATATAGTTTACACATTTACCTGGCTGAGAAAAAATAAGCTGTGACAGGTGCTGTGCAAGTGTCTGAAGTGCTGGGGCTCCTCCAAGACAGTCCACATCTAAAACAGATAAGATACTGTGGAGGCACACAAGTGCCCTACACTGGATAGTGTTCATCCTGAAAAAAAAGTACAATGATGTGATGATATTCAGTTCACTGATCTATCAGGAATTTTTAGCTTTTCTAAAGTGACAAGATAATGGAATTGCACCTTAACATTTAATGTAGGGTCCACATTAAAATTAATAGTGGCTATATTGTTGGTGGAAAGGGATGAAATTTGTGGTACTTAGTACAGGATCTTGGGATAAACTGAATTTTAAGGTCTTCCAAATCAAATTACTTGTACAATCGAGATGTCTCTGGAGTAATTCATTCTTGAATCAGAGATACAGTATATGCTTATAAATTGAAAAATGACTTAGTACACTCTAATTAATGATCCATAATTTTCTATAAGATGAAAATGTGCTAAAAGTATACAATTTCTTACTTTCTAATTAATGGCTTCCAAGTAGGATTCCTGGAACAGATGTCAACTGCCATACTGTTTGGAAAGGTAATTTTCTCGAAAACCTAGGGGGTAAAAAAACAGCAATTAAGCAATAAATTACAACATACTAGTATGATTCTATAAGTTTCCACTTCGCTAGTAATACTCAGTATGGGTAGAGTCTCTTAGTTAAGAACTGACCTAGGCTCACATTATTCTTTAAAAGGATTAATTAGCTAATTCTTATTACGCACCCCCCAAATGAGGAAATCTAGGCTTACTGTATTTTATAAGGTTATAAGCGTACCATAATTTACTTCTCAACCCATTCCCATTATCCCCAAAATACTAGAAGGAAACAGTTTACCTTCTTGGGAATGAGGTAGTTTGTAAGAGCAGTATGAACCTCAGCAGAAAGGCAGAGTGGGGACATTAGTTGTCCACTGAGTTCATTAAAGGAATTATCCATAAATGCATCACTTTCATCACTGCTAGAATACTCATCCCATTCATCATCAGAAGGATCTGGTCATGAACAATACAAACCACAAACAAATATATAAACAAGGAAGTTGTAACATAACCGGGCTTCCCCATTATCACACGGGCAAAAAGGTACAGCTGAAATGACAACCTAAAAAAAGTTCACATACCATCGCTGCAGCACATGTTGACAATAATCTCTAGGGCAATCTGCTGAGCTGTGAGTAAGGCTAATGTCTGTTTCAATTCCTTTTCAGTTGGCTACAAAAGGAAACAACAGATTTTCCATTTTTGAAAAATAATTTTGTAATGTTCTTTGGCTAAAGTCAGAAAGACTACTTTCTCATTTGAAACAGGGCATTGTAGAAAAAAAATATAGTAGAAAGACTCAAAGAGCCAAAGCTGCAAAAGGCCAGGAATTATAAATTGTATTTTACTTGAAATTAGGGTTGTGTTAAGATGAAGTTATTGGTAATTAAGTTTAAGACAAGAGTTAGTTCATCCTAAATATAATGTTTCTAGAAAGATGGAGGTCTTTTTAGAAAGAGCCTGTTACTACAAGGGTTCCTAATGAGCCTTAAATTATGACTTTCTTATGACTAAGAAAATTTGGCTAAAGAATAAAATTTGTAACTCAAATTTTTCTTCCCAATCAGTAAAATTCTGCCTTCTCTCCCTCCTACTCATCCACTCCCAACACAGAAAAAAACACAAAACTCCAATCACAAATATGTACGGAGCAGCAGAACAAATTCCCACATGGGCTATGTCCAAAAAACGATATGTCTCATTCTGCACTTGAGTTCTCTGGAAACATGGTAGGCTAGCATGATGATCTGAGTTTCTAAGTCTTTCAAAGTTGTTTGTTTTTATAATAATGCTGTCAGTGTATAAACTGTTCTGGTTCTGCTCATCTCCTTTTGCATCAGTTCATATAAGTTTTCCCAGGTTTCTCTCAAATCATCTTTTTTATTTCTTACAATACAACAGTATTCTATCAGATCTATATGCCATAACTTGTTCAGCCATTCTCCCAGTTGATGAGCACCTCTTCAGTTTCTGATTCTTTGCTACCTTGAAAAGAGCTACAAATACTTTTGTATAGCTTTAGGATTTGTTTTGCTTAGGACTAATCCTTCCTGTTACCTACCCTAATTCAAAATCTCCCTTCTCCTTTCTTCTTGTATTTCTCTATTGAGTGCAATGTATTTTTGTAGCCAACTGCATTCTTCCCCCCACTGACCAATTCAGATGACAGTAAGGTCCAAGTGTCAATCTCTCTCCTCAGCCATTCCTCTTTGTATAGACTTCTACTTGTTTACCCTGATTATATGAGAAAAATTTCCCTCACCTTCCTCTCCTTTTCTCCCCTAGTGTACTCCTCTCCCATTTTTCTTTTAAAATGATCAAGACCTAACAAAACTCCTCTCAGGCCTTGTCTCATTAAAATCCCTCAATGATCCCTGAAGATAAGGTTTAAAGAAGATGCATTTATCATTTCCTCATATCAGGATGTAAACAGAATGTTTCATCCCTTATGATTGCTTACTCATGTTTACCTTTTTATGCTTCCCTTGACTCTAATATTTGACATTAAAACATTTTATGCAGCTCTGGTCTTTTCATCAGGAATGCTTAGAAGTCCTCTATTTCATTAAAGATCCATTTATTCCCCAGTAGGATCATATTCAGGTTTGCTGAGTAAATTATTCTTAGTTGTATTGCCACACTTTTACTTTCTGGAATACAGCATTCCAATATCTCTGCTTTTTAACTCAGATGGCTGCTAAATCTTGTGTGATCCTGATTGTGGCTCCCAAGTACTTGAATTCTTTCTGGTTGCTCACAGTATTCCGTATTTTACTTAGAAGCTCTGGATTTTGGCTATAACATTCTTGAGAATTTTCATTTACATGTTTCTTTCAGGAAGTAACCAGTGGATTCTTTCTATCTTACTTTGCCTTTTGGTTCTAAGAGATCTGGACAATTTTCTTTCATGCCTTCTTGAAATATGATGTCTAGGCTCTTTTATTATTTTTTTTGTTCTAGCTTTTAGGTAGCCCAATGATTCCTAAATTATCTCTCCTCAATCCATTTTCTAGGTCAGTTGCTTTTGCATACCTTGCAATTTCTTTCATTTTTTTTCAGTCTTTTGGCTTTGTTTTAATATTTCTTGTTGTCTAATAGAGTCATTAGCTTCTACTTAGTTTATTCTGATTTTCAGGGAGTTTGATGCAGGGGAAGTTGTAAGTGTATGAGAAGACGGGTATGTGGGCTATAAGAAATAACAAACAGGATGATTTCAGAAAAACCTGGAACAACTTACACAAACTGATGCAAAGTAAAGTGAGCAGAACCAGGAAAACGTAGTATACATCAACAGCAATGTTGATTAACTTATGAATGACTTAAGCTATTCTCAGCAATATAATGATTGAAGACAATCCCAAAGAACTAATGATGAAGCATACTATCTACCTCCAAAGAAAGAACTAAGACCATCTGAATACAGACAGAAGCATGCTATTTTTCACTTTCTTTGACTCTTTATTCTTTTAATTTGAGTCTTCTTGTACAAAATGATCAACATGGAAATGTTTTACATGACTGTACATGTATAACCTAAATATAACTGCTTACAATTGGGGGGGGGGAGAAATAGAAATTTGGAATCAAAACTTAAAAAAAAATTAAAAACTAAAAAAATTTAAAAATTATTTTAACATGTTATTGGGGAAAAGTATTGTATACTGCATCTTACTGAGAAACTTGAAATGAGACTCTACTTAGCTCCTGAGGTCTAAGCCATATTCTCCTTCCCTAGCACACAGCCTAGAGCCTATCCTCTCCTCTTCCTGGAATATGACCCTTAGGCATAGGTCCTCTCTTCAATCTGTCCTGGACTTATGAGTGGCAAACAGCAGAACTGCCAGATGACACTTACACAAGTTTAGGTCTTTCTACCCTGGACCTGGGACCTCTTCTTTCCACAATACATAGCTTCTTCCTGTTCTGGAATGGTTTGTACCAATCCTACTAGACATACTCTATCCTTAGAATCTACATACCTCCCTGTTACCTCTATGCCAACCTGTGCTGGACAGATGACTCATGGATTTTTTCCTTGAATTTCCTGATCAGGATTTAGTCTGGCATATTTTGTTTTAAGTATTTTCATGCAAACTAGAATGCAAATGTAAGTTAAAAAACCCAACATATTCTAAAGTCAGATTTCTTTTTTCACTCTATACAACATTGTGAAAAAATTATAGCTATTCTGCAAAGGTGATTAAGAGTTAACTCATAAAAATGTTTTGGTTTCCATTCAAGACAGAATTAATAATTGATACATCAACCATATTTTCAAAGAACAGAGGTCCTATGTTTTGTTGCTAATGCTGTTCAAAAAATTACAGAACAAGGTGGAGTCAAAATGGCAGAGTAGTATGAAAGACAGTGAGTTTTCCTACTCTCCCCTCCCCCAACTCCTCCAAACAGATTTAGAAAATAAGCCAGACTGATTGGTTCAGTTTCCCTATGTCTCTCTCCCGCTCAGGACTCTTTCTTGATTCCCACTTTATGAACAAAATGTAATAATTTAAGCTGAGCTGCTCCATATGTACATAGTTATATCTTTCTTAGGTTGGAATATGTAACTGTTTTAGTTGAAAGCAAGATGTGCTCAAGATAAACTGATCTTTTCTCAAAGTATAATGGATGTATTGCTTTAAGAATTTAGGAACATAAAGCAAAGGAGTAATACTGGAGATCCTAATTTCAAGTAAATGACACCTAAAGAATTTAAATTATAGAACTGATTTTTAAGATGAAGGCATTAATCTGTACAACAAGACCTGAAGCAAATCAGATTTCTAGGCTGAGATACAACACCTCACAGATTGCCACATATGACAAATATTTTTAAGGCAGTGTAAGATTACTTTGGTGGCATGTTAACCAGAAATAACAGATCTTTATGTGTCATTTTAAGGTCTACAAAACACTTTATTATATAAAAGCATATCTGAGCCTCAGAGCAGTGTTTGGAGTCCAACCTCTTATCCTGAGGACAAGGTCCCCTAAGACCCCTTAAGGCTCAGGGATACCAACAGAAGAATATCTCTGATAACAATTCTGTTGATAGGCTCAGCCAGGCAAGTTCCCAAATATGTGGCTTCCATCATTCCAGCTTCCATTCTAAGTCACTGAGAACTATACTGCTTTTATGGTAGCAAAAATTGGAAATGAAGTGTTTGCCCATTCATTGGACAATGGTTGAACAAATTGTGGCATATGAATGTAATATATAATAGACATATTGAACATGACCAATTCACAGAAATATGGCAAATTCCGTGTGAAATGATGAAGAGTAAAGTAAGGAGAATGAGAATAATGTACTCCATGTTTATAATAATATGAACAAAACACTAAAAGGTAGGAGAATTTTTGATTAGTTATAATGACTAATCTTAGTCCTGGAACATAGGTAATTTCCATGTAGCAATAATAAAATCCAGAAGGAAATAACAGGTGAAGCACCATTCAACGGAATTACAAAATGCATATTATAACAATAATGGTAATAGCTAACATTTATATAGCACTTACTATGTGCGAGGTACTATGCTAAGCACTTTACAATTATTGTCTTATTTGATCCTCACAACAATCCTGGGAAGTAGGTACTATTATTACCCAATTTTACAGATAAGGAAATTGAGACAAGCTAAGTAAGCATCTGAGGCCATATTTGAATTCAGGTCTTCAGGGCTCCACCCATTGAGTGATCTAACACAAATTATCTGGGAGTAAAGTATTGCAAAACTCAATCAATGTCAGAAAAGCCTTTCAAGTATAACATCAAGCACTACTTAGGCCTGGAAATGATCACAGTATTATCTCACCAAATGTTTTCTAATGCATACCTTATGGGATTTTTTTGGGGGGGAGATAAGGGGTAGGGTGTGGGGCAGGAACATAGCTCTAATTTTGTCATGGAAACAGTCAATTTCACTGGCAAATCTGTAAAGGAAAGGGATGGATTAATTGGTTTTAGCTGGCACCCACTTAACTTACTGGAAGTAGATCTGAAATGAAAGTTTTCCTTCTGACTTTTCTTTTGTGGGGAACTTCTTCCATTTCATCATCTTCATTCAAAGTATCACCATTCATTTCATCTGTCTCCTCAGTCTCAGTCTCTGTAGCAGCATTTAACCTTTGAGTTTCAGCTTCCTTCATTTGAATAACCACCTCCCCAACATCCATTTCTAAAACATCAGAGAAAATCTTCAGGAGTGCATTTATGGTATCTGCTTGACTCTTGGATGGAAGAACATCCTTTACATTCCACACAGTCCCTAAGAAGAAAAAAAATACGAGCATGAGAACAATGAATCATCATGTCACTCCTTTGCTCAATAAACTCCACTAGCTTAGATTACTTCTAAGACAAAACCCCTCTGGCTGGCATTTAAAGCCCTTCATAATCTGGCTTCCAGCTTTATTACACATTATCCACTTACACACTCTAAGGGTGTAGCACAACTGGCTTTCTTGCTATTTCTCACACAGGACACTCCATACTCTGTCTGCCTCTGCATAGGCAGGAACCCATGCCTAGAACAAATTCCTCTCTTCACCTGTCTCTTAGAATCCCTCATTTCCTTCAGGGTATAGTTCAAGTGCCACATCACCTATGTGAGGCTTGCCTTGATTCTTCCCAAACTACTTTCTATTTATTTTACATAAGCTTAGATGTTTATATATTTTCCACCCTGATAGAATATAAACTCCTTAAGGGGAGGGACTACTTCATTTTCATCTGTGTATCACCAGTGCCTAACACATTGTAGGCACTTCCACAAGACACTGGGTACTTTAAGGTCAGGTGTAATTTCAGCACTCAGTGTCATTACCCTAGTTAAGCTTACATTAAACATCAATATACTTCAAGTCAGTGGCAGCTTCCTTTATTACAAGGCTTTTCTTCTCTCGATAGAACACAATCCTTTCTCAATGTGCTTACATTTATTAGATAAGAATACCCAGAAAACACTAATCAAATTTCTTTCTAAACTGGACAAACTGTTTGGCTTTCTTTTTCATCTTAACATGAGCTGCCCTATTCAGCAAAATCTTATATTCCAAGAGTGGAACAGAATGTACTAAAATTCCAAAAATTCCAAGATCTCTCTTCTTGTATATAGTTCTGAAAGCACACTTCCATCATTTTGCATAATTTGATAAGCAAAGTAAGTTAAATGAAGAGGTAAGGTAGAGCACTATCAAAAAAAAAAGAGGCAACTATGAAAATGAATGCACCTTTCAAAATAAACATGCATTTGGCTCATCTAAATGCAATACGGAATCTATGTGGAATTATAAAATGCATTTACTAAGAAAAGATAACACCTAGGAAACAAAAGAGGGAAATATTCAGAAATTAATGTGAGGTAAAGAGATTTTTTTTTTTTAAAGATAAGCCTTTGCCAGTTTTCTATACACTGACACAGTGGGAGTATGGGGAAAAAAGTGAAGGGCCTGCAATAAAACTAATGGCCATACAGCTTCAATTTTTAAAAATCAAATTCTACTTTCATTAGTCGATAATTAAGAACAGAAAATTCATAAAAACAATTTCTTTAAACAAATATTGGGGAGTTCATTCAACTTATGACAAATGCTTCTCCTTAGAGGAGAAATACATAAACTTAAGTCCTCTAGACAAAGATCAAGATTTTCTGAAATATAAGAATTCAATCCAACTTTTGCTTCTCACTACAGCATTTTAATTATTTAATAATGCTATGAACTAGTGAAAAGTTCCATATGTTCACAGGAAATTATTAAAAACATCTACATCGACCATTCTGGGGCAGCCAGGTGGCGTAATGGATAAAGCACCAGCAATGCAGTCAAGAAGACCTGAGTTGAAATCCAATGTCAGAGACTTACTAGCTCTGTGACCCTGGGCAAGGCACTTAACCCAAACTGCCTCCAAAAAACCAAACAAACCCAAAACAAACCACATACCATTTCCCTAATACTAAAATTATACCTGCCACTAATGTTTTCAGAAGAGTGTATTCCATAGAAGAGGTGGGTGAGAACATTGCCGATTCTAGCACCTGCAGAGCTGGAGCATTAAAAGATTTTAAGAGCTCTGGGTTATCCTCTGTCACTGCTTGTAAACAAAACGCTGTGGAGACAAAAAATGAACAACTAAAACAAATGAAAACAAATTAAATATATAACAACTGGAAAACTTAAAAAAACCCAACACCTTTTATTTTCTCTAATCACATGTTTAGCTTGTATACTTGTTTTTGTGGTACAACTCTAGCTACAAAATAGCATAAGAAAATAGGTACTAGATTTTAAGGCTTCTGAATTTGAGTATGACTTTATTAAAGCTAGAATGAACTACTTCACTTAAAATAGCCCTGTGAGTGACAGTCTATAGTCATATGGAAAAATATGATCACATTTACAAATGGCTGAGATTTTAATATAGTGAAATCATTATAATTCATTTAGTGCTTTAGGTCCAGTCTGTCCCTAAAGAAAGGAATCAGACCACACTCTATCACTTGGATAACACTAATTCACTAAAGAGGTGGTGTATTTCTGCACTGCTCAGCCTTTAAGAACTTAAAGCCATTTCGATCCAACAGAACAGAATCCAAAAGCACAAAAGGGAAATTTACCTTACATTTCTTTCTTGAAAATCTCTTGTAGTGCAAATACCAAGCTAAATCTATCCAATTAAAAATTTTTTGAAAAAGCCTACCCAGATCAATGAGGAAAGACAAATTTTTATGTGACCTGGCTTTAATCTACTCTGCTTCCCAAGATAAGTTCTGAGATTTGCACGAATTTTTTTTTCTCCTTCAGAATTTAGTTAAATCCACCTATGCGAAGGGCTAAGAATCCAAACTTCCAGGCCAGGGGAATCATACCACATTCTAAAAAGATAATGTAAGGAACATTATATTAAAATAGAGGATATAGACTAGTAAGATTTCTTAACTAGTTTTTTATTAGCCTTATTTTTTCAAAATAAAAGCTGTAAGATTAAGTAAACATATAATCTACTGAACAGTAAAATGAAAGTAATTAAAAACAGGTGACTTTATATAGCATATTAAGGTCTTCTGTTTTGTTTTCATTATATCATGAAAATCTCTTAAGAACACTACAAGGTAAGTACACCAAAAGTAGTAGTATCCTCATTTTACAGATAAGGAAATAGGAATGGAGAGATTAAGTGGCTGGCCCTTGATCAGAGAGTGAACTAAGTGTCAGAGGCAGGACTCAAATCCAGGTCTTACTAACTCCAAGTCCAACACTTTTATCAAACACCACACTAAAGCATGTGGAATGCCTCAAAGGATTTCAGGAGGAAAAAAACTGAAGAGATGCTGTAATTGTTCATTCTGTCAACAAACGACAAAATCAAAGATGTGAAAGTCTTGGAGATTTTGTTTTATAAGGCTGACAACTTTTATTAAAAGTTCCTCAAATTCATTTTTAAAAAATTAGTTACCAAACCTAACAACTGCTAGTATAACTCTCCCTTATTTTAAAAATATTCTCAAATGGCTTTCTGTAAAGTGAAGAAATGTGGTGATGTAAAAACAGAAGATATCAATGAAAATATATTTTAAAAAATTTTAAATTAAAAACACCCTCACCAACATTATTTCTCCCTTTACACTTCTATATCTTCTCCATTTTAAGGAAAATTCATAACTTTTCCCAGTATGATTTGTTTCACAATTTTCTTTTCCCCCTATAAAAGAGCATTCATTGTTGCCAAATATGGTCTAAGTGGAATGCACCTTGTCCTTGTCAGGGGAAACAAACAGTTAAATCAAAGAGCAGGTAAATGCTTGCCGCTCTTTAGGGTAAAAGGGAGAAAGGGAAAAACTGATCCTTACATCCTCATTCTATTCTCTCTCTCTCTTTTTTTTTAGTGAGGCAATTGGGGTTAAGTGACTTGCCCAAGGTCACACAGCTAGTACGGGTCAAGTGTTTGGTCTGAGACCAGATTTGAACTCAGATCCTCCTGACTTTAGGGCCGGTGAGCTATCCACTGCATCACCTAGCTGCCCCTCATTCTATTCTCAATCAGTATATTTCTGACTCTGCTCACCCCCATATCTTTCTTTCTCTCACCTCTTCTAAGTTGGAAGAGGAAAAAACAAAAATTTAGTTAGCTTTTTCAGTGATCTCTGTGTAACTCTGCTTAATCATAATTTTGCAAGAGGGATATAAATATCAGAGATTAGTGAATATAGCTGAGGATGGTAAAAAACAAGGACTCAAATGTTCTATGGCTCCTATTTAAAGTGACAGTGGTGGTGGTTTATATAAGCAAATACAATAATAACAAACTAAAAACTATCACTTTTATACATTAAAGAATATAATAAACATGTAATTCTATGAAAACTTTTTTTCCCCCCAGATTACACTGTAAATACTTAATAAACCATCACTTTTTCTTCACTTACCTACTGAAATAGCCAGGTCAACATTGGTGGAAAACCTACTTAAATACTTTAATACAATCTCCAAGCACCCTTCTTTGTTGAATATAGATACTGCTCTACTACTGCATTCACTAAATTGAAGGGGGGAAAAAAAGTTTTACTATTCACATTTTAACATGAAAAAAAAACAAAAAACCAAACATACATAATCTCATGAACTAACAAATTTCAGTGAATAAAACCATGACATTTGCCAAACTTCAAGTAAACTGAACATTCAGATATTAAGTTAAAAACACTAAAATGACCATCTGGACTTATTATAAGAAAATGAAAAAGTGAAAAAAGGCAAATAGGAGTAACTTTGAACAAGGTACTCAAGTTCAATTATAGTTTAAAACAGGTAGAATTTATAATCTGAAACAGAGACTTTAAAAACAATAATGGTTTAAAGTTACTATCCCTAGCAAAGAAGGTCAAAATTTTCATTAGTAAAACATAGCTACTCCATCCAAATATCCAACCATTATATAGAGACAGTTACATTCATATTGTACTGATGTCTACATCACTGAAATATTCTATTATCTTTTTATGTAAGTGCGTGTTACACACAAAGAAAACCAACAATGTTCTTCAACAAAAATGCTAGAGTAGGGAATTCTGCTGCTACTTTGAGGCTTCCACTGAATTCCTATGGCTATACCTTATTGTGACAAGGATTTGGCCTTTGGTAGTAGTGTGCTCTTTGGCATCTAAGGATCAGCCAAGTTCAAAGCCTCCTGGCTTCTCAACCAGAAGGCTGGCAAATTCTGGTCCACAGAAACTCATGAAAATATCCAATAAAGTGTGGAAGGATTACAATCTCTGTCAAAAGAAGTAGCAATGCTAATGAAACAGCAGGTCTACTGAAATATTTTTAAAATTTCAATTTCATAAAAATATAAGCAAGTGTTTATTATGTACAAATTATTGTGCCAGGTGCTGCAGGTTCAAAGATAATTCAGACTTTCAAATTGACATATACTGCAAGGTTATAACATATACACAAATACGCATATACAAAGTTACTTAACAGGGAAAAAGAATATACTACACACAGAAATTAGGGAAAGCTTCATAGTCTATGGAACCCTAGTTGAACATTGAAAGAATAAGAGGATTTTGAGGTAGATTGTGGAAAAACTATGTTCCATGCATGAGGAAGAAATTCCTGGGTTGACTGAACTGAGGAAGGAGATGACATGTTGAGTTAAGAGGAACATTTAGTAGCCCAGTGTGGCTAGAACATAGAGTGAAGAGAAGTAGATGGAATATGTAGAATGGAATAAAGAGAGGGCCTGAAATGCCAGGCTGGGAAGTTTTATATTTTATTTTAAAAGCCATTGATTGTGTCTGAACAGCGGAATGATACGTTAGACCTATGGTTTAGGAAAATTATTTTGGCAACAGTAGAGAATACACTAGAAAGACAAACACTAAAAAGCAGGGAAATAAATTGGGCTATTATAATAATCTAGGTGAGAGGCGAGAGAGACCTGAATGAGAGTGGCTGGGTATTGGACAAATGAGAGATAATGTGGAGGTAAAACTGATGGAAAGTGGCAAAAGTTAGCATAATACACTTTTAAGTGCATCTTCATATTTCAAAAGATCCACTAAATTCATTAGTATACTCCATGAATAGATACAAATAGTAAAAAATCATCAACTAGTCAACTTTCTGGTGATAAGCTGCTACTCTGTATGCACTCAGCTAGGTTGATCCTTATATGACTCCCACTACAACATGATAAAACCTGCCAGAGTTTGATTTTTATCGCCACAAACTTTGAGAGCTAAGGGCCACCTCCATGTCATAATTAGCTGCTAGGTACTAAGAGGGATACAAATATAGTAGCACAGAGTAGCATTAACAAATTGTTTCCAATGATTTTTTTGCTACCTTCCAGAGTTATTAATTTTATTATTCATTTTTATCAGTTTGTTAAATCTAAAATCCTTTCTTGATATGAAGGGAGTAAGATCAGCAAGACCAGGCAATGGAACATCTGAATTCAGTTCCCACCCTCTGATATCATTCTTTTCTACCTAGATTCCTTCATTATTCCCCCCTGGGAATAAATGTGTTTACCACTTTAACAATGAACTAATGGGGAAATATGGCTTGTTAATAAAGGTTTTTGATTTATGGGCAGCTTTCCAGAAACTTTTAGTCTTTACAAGAGAAAAAAGGTATTACTCCTCAGGGTCAGAAGGTACGAATGAAAAGAAGGTAGAGCAGTAAAAAGGAGGCAGGGAAAAAACAAATTTATTGCATATTCCCAATGGTGTGTCCATTACCATTTCTACTGGCTACACTCCCATGGGGATGGAATGGTAGATCAGATACATGGTTTTCTGGTTACTAAGAATGGTGGATAATGGAGTAGCAACTCTGAGAATGTACTTAGTCTCTTCTTCCTCCTACTAATCAGCTTATTTAAAATTTTTAAAAATTTTTAATTTTCCCCCAGTTACATTAAAAGCAATTTTTAACATTCATTTAAAAAACTCCAATTCTCTCCCTTCCTCCCTCCCCACCCCCCATTAAGACAAGCAATTCAATATGGGTCATACATGTGTAGTCACGCAAAAAATTTCCGTATTAGTCTGTGAATGAAAACACATATTAAAAAAAATATGTTTCAATCTGTATTCAGACACCATCAGTTCTTTCTTTGGGGATGGATAGCATTTTCATCATAAGTCCTTCAGAATTGTCTTGGATCATTGTACTACTGAGAATAGCTAAGTCATTCACAGATTATCATCTTACAGTATTGCTATTTTGTACACTGTACATTTCACTTTGCATCGGCTCCTGTAAATCTTCCCAGGTTTTTCTGAGAGCATTCTGCTCATCATTTCTTATAGCACAATAGCACTCCATAATAATTACATACCATAATTTGTTTAGCCATTACCCAATTGATGGGCATCCCCCTCAATTTCCAATTCTTTCACCAGAAAAGAGCTGCTATAAACATTTTTGTACAAAAAGGTCCTTTTCCTTTTTGCTTTTTCATCCCTTCTGGGATACAGACCTAATACTAGTATTGCTAGCCCTTTAGGCATAGTTCCAAATTGCTCTCCAGAATGGTTGGATGAGTTCACAACTCCACCACCAATGCATTAATGTCTCATTTTACCCATATCCCCTCCAACATTTGTCATTTTCCTTTTCTGTCCTATTAGCCAATCTTATAGGTTGAGATAGTACCTCAAAATTGTTTTAATTTGCATTTCTCCAATAGTGAGAGCATTTTTCATATAGCTATAGACAGCTTTGATTACTTCTTCTGAAAACTGTTCCTATCATTTGATCATTTATCAATTGGGAAATGGCTCTTTTATAAATTTGACTTCGTTCTCTAAATATTTGAGAAATAAGGCCTTTATCAGAGAAACTTGCCTCAAAACTTTTTTAGTTACTACTGCTAACTGAAATTCCCTTCATCTTATTTCCCTGTTTATTCTATTCTTATCTCCTTTCACCCTGTCCCTTCTCAAAAGTGTTTTGCTTCGGACTACCTTCTCCCCCAGTCTGCCCTCTTTTCTATCACATCTCCTCCCCTTTCTCTTATCCCCTTCCCCTCCCACTTTCCTGTAGGGTAAGACAGATTTCTATATTCACAATCAGCTTCTTTCTTATGTCAAACTGCCAAATGCTGCTGCCAGAATAATGCACTGGGAGTAGTTTGTGTTTCCTCCCTTCTTCTAGTTGCCAAACTGATACAACTGTATTTCACCACGCCTGACAAGTCAGACATGAAATGTCAGTATACAAAAGACCTGGGGCAGGGGAATTGCTGTTGTCTTCAAATGTCTGAAAGGGTGTCATGTGGAAAAGGGATTCTATATTACATTTTGCTAGGCCTTCAGGAGAGAACTAGGACCAACTAGAACACTTCATGGTCAATATAAGAGAAAAATTCCTAGAAGTTATAGCTATACAAAAAATGTAATGAGCAGGGCTGTGAGGTAACAAGCTGGGGGGGGGGGTTGGGATTAAAAAGCAAAATGAGAATCAAGTTTCACTGCAGTGGTGTATTCATTCTCCTGGCAATGGCAGTAGCCAGCTCCAGGTGAAGAGAGGCAGGAAAGTGGAAAGGAAATGAAAGAAGTAGTTGATGTGAACAAAGAGATCAGGGGTTGGCGCGCGCGCGCGCACACACACACACACACACACACACACACACGCAGAGTAAATTCCACAAAGGGGAAGAGTTTCCCAAAAGAACAAAAATGGGTACTAGGTAATTGCAGGAAGGGTCTACTGTAAATGGATAGAATACTCTTACCATATATTCCATAGCACATTCACAGCCTCATTAGCTATGTCTTCCACGTAATTTTTATTCAGCTCTTTGTTTTTCTTCAAAGAGATTTCACTGGAATCTAATCCAATGCTACACTGTAACCAAATGTTACAATTAGTTCCTTGTTCATAAAAATATGAACAAATAAAAAAGCTAGTGTAAAAAACAGAAGGGGATCAAAAATATAGTGATAAGGGTGGTTAACATGCCAAATTATCTTGGGTCAATTTCACCACAAATCTATTTCCCTCTTTAGAATAAACAAATGAAAATAAAACATCTAGAAGTCACAATAAAATATCGATACAAAACATTTTTAATTTCAAAGAAAATTTAGAATTATTTAAAAAAAACCCAAACCCTGACCTATATAGCAAAGATGACAAAAATATTTCACTGATAACACAATGTACTCTTAAAAAGGAATATGAACAGCATGCATTATCAAAAGCTTATGTTTTTAAATATAAATCATGAAATGATATAAAAAATAGCAGCACCTCAGAGGTTAAGTCAAAAGATGACTAAAACAAGAAAACTAGGTGACCACTGAATTGTTGAGACGCAGTTAGATCAGTCATATAAATTCAGAGAACTGTTATGAAGATAAGGAATTTTACTTTCTCCAGCTCACTATGAGAATCAATTCTTCTAAGACAACACAAAGGTTTTATGTCAGGGTAATAAATCATTGAGGAAAGCAGCCTTTTAAGGAACTAAAGACTTTATCTTTTCAGGGGCAATTCAGTACAAGTTCTAAAAAACAAAAAATTCTAATGGTTTTTTGTATGAATCATCACAGCTTTCTCATAAAGGGAAAATTAGAGAATATTAAGAAAGGGTATGAAAGGAGAAGTAGGATGATGAATATTCCTTCACCTATGTTAGTCCTTCACTAGAAAAGTACCAAAAGTCCCATAGACACTCTACAGGAGAACCAAGAATCTGTTTTAAATACTCAATAAACTTTTCATCTTCACAAAGATAAAACTACTTAAGTTTATATTTTTTAAAAGGTTACAATTGTAGACTGCCATCCATTACCATCAGCATATATTTTTAAAAATACATACCTCTTTTAAGAGTGCAACAAGTGGTGTCATGATGTCCTTAGTAACCATATCATCACAAACTTCAAAACCTCCACAAGCACTGAGATTTCTAAACAAGGAGTTAAAATTATCAAATTCCATTCTTGGATTAAGTGTTACATAATGTTGTTAGCCTACACGTGAAATATTTTAAACGGTTCTTAATCTATTTCTTAAGCCACATTGTAGGTGGGACAAAGACAAGCTAAAGAGAATACAGAACTAGGACTAGGATGGTGAAGGGACTGGAAGGGACTAGAACTATAGGACTAGGATGTTGAAGGGATTGGAAACTATGCCCCCCCCAAAAAAAAAACCAAACCAAAAGACAAACCAGTTTAAGAGAAGGCATGTTGGAGAAGGCAAGATTTGAGGGGGAAACAGGAAGACAAGCAAACTATTTTTAAAAGAGTGGAAGAATTATATAACTTTGCTTGGTCCTGGAAAATAGAACTAAGAGAAAGAGGGAATGTTATCAGGTCATATAATTCAGCTTAACATAAGGAAGATCTTTATAATTAGGAAGGTGCTGCCTGGGTAGGAACTGAGTTAAACACTGGTAAAAGAAAGTTGTATAGCAAAAAGTAGCTACAGAACAATTACCTCACACCCTTTTCCAAGATAAGCTCCAAATGGATCTATGATCTAGACATAAAGGGTTCTAAACAAATTAGAGGAACAAAGAATTAATTTTCATATCTAAGAATAGGGGAATAATAGTACATGAATAAACAAGGGTTAGATAGGATCACGGAAGATAAGATGAACAATTTTGATTACATGAAATTTAAAAGAGTTTGCACAAACTAAAACAATATAGCTAAAATTAGAATTAACTGGGGAAAAAATCTTTGCAGCAAGTTTCTCTGATAAGGGTCTCATTTCCAAGACATATAGGGAACTGAATAAAATCCATCCCTATCTGATCAAAGGATATGAATAGGCAGTTTTCTTTTTTTAAATAGCATTTTATGTTTTTTTCCAATTACATATAAAGACAATTTTTCCAAATTTTTTTCCTCCTCTCACTTCTCCCCTAAGATGGTAAGCAATTTGATATAGGTTATATATGTGTAATCATGTAAGACATACTTGCATATTAATCATGCTGTGAAAGAAGAAACAGAACAAAAGGGAAAAAACACACAAAAAATAAAGCAATAATATAGTTTCATCTTCAGACTCCATCAGTTCTTTCTCTGAATGTGAACAGCATTTTCCATCATGAGTCTTTTGAACTTGTCTTGGATCTCTGTATTGCTGAGAAGAGCTAAGTCAATCATAATTGATCACTGCACAATGTTACTAATACTGTGCACAATGTTCTACTGGCTCTGCTCAGTTCACTTTGCATCAGCGCATGTAAGTCTTTTCAGGCTTTTCTGAAATCTGCCTGCTTGTCATTTCTTAAAGCACAACAATATTTCATCAGAATCATATACCACAACTTGCTCAGTCACTCCCCAAGTGATGGGCATCCCCTCAATTTCCAATTCTTTGCCACCACAAATAGAGCTGGAATAGACAGTTTTCTAAGGAAGAAATTCAAGCTATCAAAAACTATGAAAACTGCTATAAATCACCAATAATTAAAGAAATGAAAATTAAAACAATTCTGAAATTCTACCTCACACTCAGTTGTGAAGGGCTTGTGGGAAAACAGGCACATTAATGCACTGCTGATGGAGCTGTGAACTGGTCTGTCTATTCTGGAAAGCAATTTACAACTACGCTCCCAATATTACTAAACTGTGCATACCTCTTGACCCAGCTAGCTATACCGCAATCAAAGGAAAAGGGCTCCTCTAGAGAAAAATATTTATAGCACATTTTTGTAGTGGCAAAGAATTAGAAACTGAGGGGATGTCCATCAACTGAAGAACAGCTGAACAAATTATATAAACAATGGAATACTGTTGTGCTAGAAGAAATGATGAAGGAGATGATTTCAGAGAAACCTGGGATGATTCACATGAAGAAAGTAAGCAGAACCAGGATAACAATTTACATAACATTAACAATGTGAAGACAAACAACTTTGAAAGATTTAAGTACTGATGATGAAGCACGCTACCCACCACCTAACAGAAGTGATGGATTCAGGATGTAGAATGAGATATTTTTTGGATATGGTTAATGCAGGAATATTCTGCTTGACTATGCATATTTACTATGAGCCTTATTTTTTTTCTTCTTTCTTTTCCAATGGTGGGGAAGAAGGATGGAGAAAATGGGTAATTGAAAAAAATTACATTTAAATTTTTAAGTTATATTTTGAAGGAGGGTTTAGGAAGCAGCTGGATGACTATCTGTGCAGTACGTTGTTTCAGGACCTAGGTGTCCTCAGATTCTTTTCAACCCTGAAATTCTAATATTATCTCATGATAGTGTAGTAAATAAAGGGCCATCCTTAGAGTCTGGAAAACCTGGGTTCAAGTCACTCCTCTCCCCTTTCTAGTTGTGAGAAAAATTACTTAACTTCTCAGTGCCACAGGCAATTTTAAAAGACTGTAAGTTACAGAAGACAGAAACAGTAGGTACAAAGGTAAGGCCAGTGGATTTTGAGATGGAGAACCTGAGTTCAAAATCCCTGCTCTGTGGTTTACTACCTGTGTGATGCTGGGCAAGTCACTTAGCCTCTCTGTACCTCAGTTTCCTCATCTATACAATGAAGGGACAGAACTAGGTAACCACTGAAATCCCTTTCCAGCTCATATGACCTTACTAACAATCTGTTTTAAGAGTAATTCTATACCACAAATTCGATGAAGTGATGAAATCACATGTAAGAACAAAAAATTAGCTACAAAACCAGCTCCCTTGCTTCCATCATTCTGGATTCTCTAGCATAAGAAAGAAGGAAAAGATTTTGACGCTAAAAACAATCTGTTCAAACTAGTAGGCAACAACAGCATCATTTATTAAGTGCCTATTATGCATCAGGTGCTGTGCAAAGCTGTAGGTACCCAAGAGAAGAAATAGTTCCTACCTACGAAAACCTCACATTCTAACAAGGAAGTTGACAGCTGGCATTTATGTAGCTTGCAAAAGCACTTTACATGTTGTCTATTTTGTTCCTCACAATAACCCGGTGAGATAGGTGCCATTAATTCCATTTTGCAGATGAGAAAACTGAAGCCGGGAGATTAAATTACAAACCCAAGATCTAGTGTCTGAGGTAGCACTTAAACTCAAATTCTACCACTTTATCTATTCACCATCTAGCAGCCTCCCAATTTACACCTAGATAACAAGTACAAAAGTAAGCACGTACCAGGCATATACAATTCAAATACAAGGTAACCTTAGTGGGGAAGGTATTAGCCGCAGGAGAAAGGGAGTGGGTGGGTGGTTGAAGCAACTGAAGCTGCAGTCTAGGAGACCAAGGCGACCACGCCCCACCTCTGGGGACCTGGAGGATCCCTACAATCCTCTGGATCACTAGCTCATCTCCCCCTCATGGGGCTGAGGATCCCTAAAATCTCCTCGCTCTGACCTGGCTCTGCTAATGAGGCCGAGGTGAGGGATCCCGCCCCCCACGCGCACCTGGCTCAGCCCAGGGGGCTGAGGATTCCTATAGCCCTCTCCCCCTGAGGATCCCCGCAATCCCCGCCTCACCTGGTCCACGCCCCTCCCCCCAGCTGAGGATCCCTACAATCCGTCCCCTCACCTGGGGGGGGGTGAAGGCCGCTCTCGCCCCACCCCTCCCGCTCCACTCACCGCAGCGCGCCCGCCGCCGTCTCCCGCACGGCCAGGCTGGGGTCGAGCAGCAGCGGCCCAAGCTGCCGGACAGCATCCCTGCGGGTCAGGGCCGAGATGGAGGGCTGCTGCTGCGCCAGCCGCGCCAACCCCGCACAGGCGCACTCGCGGACCTCGGCGCTCGGATGCTGGAGCTGCGGGAAGAGGAGGGGGTGTCAGGAGTCCGGAGGGCCGGGAGGGCGTCGGTGGAGAGGACGTCCCGGGAAGGGGGAGGGGAGGACGCTAGCGCGCGAATGCGCTGGAGTGGGGGAGGAAAAGGGGGGGAATAGCGCGCTCAGTCCTAACCTCTCCACGCGCCCCCGCGCGGCGGGGAGGGGGAAGGGAAGAGAAAGCAAGAGGAGAGAAAGACAGGGTCCTATTTCGGCCGCTTCACCTTCTCGAGGAGCTCCACCGCCGGTGAGTCGTCCAGTCCAGCCTCGTCGTTCTCCGCTGCCTCACATTCACCCGTGGGGGAGAACGGAGGCCGTCTGAAGCGTTTGTTCTTGCTCTTGCCCATGGCTGCGGCGCCAGCCGGGAGATGCGGGAGCCTGCGGACAGGGCAGCTGTAGGATTCGGACACTAAAGTTGCAGATCTCAAGAAGCTCCGCTGGGCCTGCCGGAGCCAACTAGAGCGCACACATGGCAATGCAATGCGCAGGCGTGGCGTGAGGGCAGGTGGAGGTGGGGCTGGAGGCGTGGAGGGTGCGCAGGCGCAGAAGAGAGGCAGAAGGAGCGTGCGGAAACAGACCTAAAAAGTGGGGAATCTGGTCGCTAAAACGCCAGGATTTTTTTAGGTGGAAGAATCTAAGATTTTAAGAATAGTCGATCTGAAAAGGGCATTAGAATTTATCTTACTGTCGGGTTACAGACCCCAGGAAATCTGAAGCTTGCAGAGCTTGTCACTTGTCTAATTTACTCAGTGGCAGAGCTGGGATTTGAACTTGGGGTCGTCTTCGAAATTAGTGCCCTTGCCGTGGCACGAAACCACCTTAGGGAAGTTACGGGAACATCGATTTAGTCCTAGAAGAGACCTAAGAGAGCAGTTGGTCCCAGCCTTTCATTTTACAAGTGAGGAAATTTAGTACAAAGAGGTCACACCGAGGTAATGACTGGGGCTGGAGCCTTCTAATTCCAAATTCTGTTCTCTTTCTCCTGGACAGAGCTGATGCTTGTGAAAGGTATCTTTTCTACACGAATAATAGTTAGCGTCTCTGGCTACTGCTAAAGAGCGCAGCGCGTTCGAGCTTGGGTCTGGATTGGGCTGTCATTGCTGAAGGTGGAAGGAGCATTAGTAAATCAATCACTCTGGCCTGGGACCAGAGTGTCACTAGTGCCAGAGAAGGGGCAGAGTAGACAGACAGTGAGACATCAGCTCTAGGACTTAGAGATGATGAGCAGTTGCTAAAGAAGGGTGATTATCCCTCCATGATCAGCAGGCGTCCAAACCTTTCCAACCTAGCAGAAAATTAAATCAACAGCCTTCTTGGAAACCAGGTGGAGCTACTTTAACTTTCTGGAAAGTGGCCAGCAAACTTCATTCTTTATGAATCTCTGATTTAGAGCCACAGGTTGCCTGAGAAAAAATGATCTTTCTCTGCTACCACTTTCTAAGCTCATCCCCACCTACTTTATCCTGACCCTTCCCATATCCTTATCTTGCTCTACAATCTCTGTCCATTGTACCTTGTGCAACTTTTGAAATGTTATATTTATAAACTCTCTCTCAAATTAAAGCACTTCATCTCACACTCCTTACATCTTATTCAATTCACAGAAACCTAGCTCTCCTAGAAAACATTATGTCTTTGATCTGTGTTGATAGAGGTGTTTCCTCACAAGGAATTGCCTATATCAGTGAAATGACAGAACCAATCCCTGTAAACCCTGTAAAACTCATACAAAAAAACAAACCAGAAACTAAAAAAGATAAGATAAAGATTCGTTAAGATAATATTTGATGACAGAAACCATAGGGAGCAACTGTAGTTTATCGAGTAAATGAATGAGATGATCAAACCAGACTTTTAGCAAAATCACTTTGGTAGCTGTGTGGATAATAGATTGGAGTGGAGATAAGTTTATGGTGGTGAAAACAAAAAGGAGGCTATTTTGGTAGTCCAGGCTATGGTGGCTGTGTGAGTGGCCAGAAAAGAAAAGTATATTTGGGAGATGTTGTGGAGATAGATTTGGTAAGCTCTGGCAATGAATTCACTACATAGGATGAAGGAGAGTGAAGAATCACAAATGACACTAAAGTTTCAAACCTGGGTGACTAAAAGGATCTTGGCCTCCTCAGCATATGAGGAAGTTTGGAAAAGTGGTAGATTTTGGGGAAAAGATAAAGTAATGAACGCTGAGATGCAGACTGCAACTTATTCATAACTGAGCATCCAGTGTGACTCAATCTGTCCTAACAAAAATGGAAAGAGATGGAACATCTTTCATTGGCTACAGGAATTCCTAGGGATGCAAAGCCCACTTAGCCATAGGCAAGAAGTAATTTGGGGAGCAGAGTGTGGATATGCTGGATATGTGTGATGGGGGTGAAGGAAAGGATTTGTTTTGTGCAGCTGCAGGTATGGGTTCCTAGGTTATGCTTAGGTTATAGTTACTTTCAGGGACTTTCGCCTAGAGTAGAAGGGAAGAGGCTTGGGGGCAGGGGAGTTTATACAGCTAAAAGGGAGTCCAGCAGTGAAAAAAGGAAGAGTGGGAATAATGAGTGAAGAGAGAGTGAAGTTATATTGTAATCAAACCCCCACCATCACACAGAGGTTGGGATATGATCAATCATACTTTCTGATTGGTTACCCTTTGGGGTCATGCTATTTCCTCCTTCCCCCCAGCTTTGGAGTCCAATACTCTAAACTAATAAAAATTTATTCTCAGATAAGATCTAAAATTTATTTGTGCTGAAATATAATAAACATTACTCTTTCTTTTTTTAAAATTAATTTATTTTGATTTATCAACAGTCACTTCCATAAGCTTTTGAGTTTTAAATTTTTCTCCCCATCTTCCCCCCAAGATGGGCACACAATCTGATATAGGCTATACATATACATTCTTATTAAACATATTTTTCCATTAGTGATATTGTAAGTAAGAATTAGAACCAATAGGAGAAACCACCAGAAGGAATAAACAAAATACAACAAAAGAAAAAAATTGCAAATAGTATGCTTTGATCTGCATTCAAACTCCATAATTCTTTCTTTGGATGTGGATAGCATTTTCCATCATGAGGCCTTTGGAGATGTCTTAGATCCTTGTATTGCTGAAAAGGGTTAAGTCTATCAATATTAGTCATCAAACAACATGGCTGTTACTGTATACAACATTCTCCTGGTTCTGCTCACTTCACTCAGCATAAGACCATACAAGTCTTTCCAGGTTTTTCTGAAGTCTGCCTGTTCATAGTTTCTTATAGCACAATAGTATTCCATTACATTCATACGCCACAACTTGTTCAGCCATTCCCCAATTGATGGGCATCCTCTCAATTTCCAATTCTTTGCCACTACAAAAAGAGCTGAACATTACTCTTTCAAAGGGAAATTTTAATGGCCTTAGTTAATAGAATTTAAGGCCTAATTATGGAATTTGGGTTTGATATCCACCTGAAATGTACAACCTGGGGATGAATTTGATTGGGAAGCATAGCCTTGTTTTCTATCTACCTGTTGTGATTTAAATCACTTATTCACTTAAGGTTAGTCCTAAATCTATGGGAAGAAAATCTGAAAGAAATTATTCAGTTAAGGATGGCTTTGGTAGTGAGCAACATTTTAATTTCCTATTCCAATGTTCTTACTGAGAGTAAAAATGTGCTGAAAGTATGCAAAAAGCATTTATAAAAATATGATGTCAAAATAAGAAACCATATACCTCCACGCAGAGAATTTTACCAGTCTTTTCATTATTGCTATAAGTCACCTGTGGAAAGCAAAATTAAGGAGCTAGATCAATATTGTAAGGCCAAAAAAATCTTGATGTAAATTGGAAAGATACTTAGGACAGACCAAAAGAATTCTAGAACTAGTTTTGCAATATGCAATTGGCAAAATAAATAAACAATGAAAATTTTCATAATGTCTTACACAAGTAGAACAGATTATTTTGAGTGAATAACTGGAACATTGTTATGTTCTCATAAGCGAAAAGAATCACAAATTACGTTGTTACTGTGTCAGAAGTTCTTTGAGCTTCTGCTATAACTTGAAACATCTCACTCATTTGAAATGTTATTTTTGTACTTTCATTGGAATTAAGCTGAAAAAGGGGAATTCTATTATTGTGCTTCCAAAAAAAATAGCATTTCTACTTTCACATGCACAATACTATTAGAAGTCAGCCCTTGTGACCAAACTCAGTCTAAAATCAAATGAATGGATTTTATCTCATCAGCTATTCAAAGAACCTGATGATAGACATTCTGGCTACAGATTTACCATTAGCAAGTCCATTTAAGAAATAGCCAATAGGTGACTAAAATGATTTAGAGACAAATTAACAAAAAAAAAACATAAGTAGGACAGAAATTAAGGACCTCAATGGAATTTTAGAAAAGTTAGATATGGCAAATGTTTGGCAATAATGGAATGGAAATACAAAGTAATAAACATGTTCTCAGCTATGCATTGTATTTTATAAAAACTCACTATGTGCTATGGCATAAAAGCCTCATAAACTCAGAAGAGCAGTAATACTAACCATCCACTACTGACTAAAATAAAAAAGAAGAAAAAGAAGAGGGGCTTTCAAAGAAAGAATTTAAACTTAAAAAAGAACTAAAATAATATCAAAGAATTAGTAATTTTTTTTGTTTTTCTTTTGCTAGGCAGTGGGGTTAAGTGACTTGCCCTGGGTTAGATAGCTAGTAAGTATCAAGTGTCTGAGGCCAGATTTGAGCTCAGGTTCTCCTGACTCCAGGAATGACATTCTATCCGTTGCACCACTTAGCTTGCCCAGAATTAGTAATTTTTTTTAAATATCATAGAAACAATAGGTAATTTCATTAAAGAAAATTACATGCCAGAACTTTTTGGAATGGATCTGTGGCCCTCTTCTACAACCAAAGCGGTCTTCAGAGGGAAATTCTATCTCTAAACATTAATAAGAAAAACAATAAACGGACACACACTAACCATCCATAATTCAAGAGGACAGATGATGGTAGCTGGTTATTCACCTTATGACAGATAGGTGATGGATTCAGGATACAGAATGAGACATTTATTTTTTGAACATGGACAATGAGGGTATTTGTTTTACTTTATTATGCATATTTGTTACAAGGAGTTTGTTTTTCTTTGGTTTCTTTATCCAAAGGGATTTGGACTGGATAGAGAAAAAAAGATTTCTATAAATTAAAAAAAAAGAAAATGACAAACCTCAACCATATAAAATGAAAATTCTGAAAATTAAGAGAGATTAACAAAAAAGCCCATCATATTAATAAATAAAACTAGATACTTAAGAAAATAGATAAATCATTAGCTAATCTGATTTTTTATAAAAAGAGAAAAACACCACATTGTCTATATCAAAGATAAAAAAGAATTCACAACAAATGAGATAAAAGAATAATTAAATGCTATTTTGCTCAATTATTTGCCAACAAAACTGGGAAGTAAATTGGATGAA